AGAAAGAGACAGACAGGCAGACAGACGGTCTGTCTGTCTGCACTTTCAAGCTTTTGTGTGAAAGTCAGATCGGAGCTGCAGACCGACACCACAGCTCCTCCTCCAGCAGCCAGACATCTGATCCCACAGCAGCTCCTCCTCTCTCTCTCTCTCTCTCTCTCTCTGTCTGTGTGTCTCTCTCTGTCTCTCTCTCAGTCTCTCTCTCAGTCTCTCTCTCAGTCTCTCTCTCAGTCTCTCTCTCAGTCTCTCTGCAGTAACTGTATTATTGATAGATTTGCTGTTATTGATTAAATCAGGACATTTCAGTTGCAACTATTTGAATTCTATACATTTTGCTAATGAACTGCACAGCGCCCTCTGCTGGTTGAAACCGGCTGTTACAGTTGAGTTTCTCTATTGGCTGATCTGCAGTCAGGTGACGCCACCAACTGACCCCTGCTGCTATAAAACCAACGTCTGCACTCTGCAGCTGCTACATAGCCGTTAGCCACAGACACTGTGAGCCGCTAGCTTAGCTAACGTTACAACAAACAGTCAGTGGAAGAAACATCGGTTTAAAATCTGTTTTATTGAGATTCAGACAAAAGTTGAAAAGACAAACACGTTTAAACGACAAAAGGACGTGGTCTGAGGGTCAGTGGGTCTCTGATCTTCGGCTCCTCAGGCTGTAACGAGGCTGACCAATCAGGAGAGAGGAGCAGAGGTCAGAGGTCAAATCGGTTCAACATTACAGTCCTTCAGATCTCAGTGGTTACTATGGCAACAGTCTGTAAAATGCTGCTGTGTCACTGTGGACCAATCAGACGGCTGATTTCTGTGATGTCACAGTGAGGATGAGGAGTCACTGATCTGAATGTCAACTGCAGGATTTAATAAAGTTTATTTAAATGAGCTGAACGGTTCCACTTCCTGTTTTTGTTGTTGTTTGTTTAAACTGAACAACTTCATTTTAATGACACTGATGGACAGCCGCTATTATTACACATTTCTACATATTACAGTCGATTACATATTTTATGTTTTATTAATTACTATGTGTTAAACAGGTTGAGTGTGTTTACAACCTGAGATCCTGTGATACTCTACACTAAAATACATTGAAGCTTTGGAAAAGGATGTCAGGGTGGGAACTGTTGCCTAGATCTAAATAATCAATAATCAGATCAGATACCCGTTTGTCCTCCACCAGGATGCTGTAGACCAAAGGAGAGGAGGAGCGACGAGGACGCCTGCCTGGACTCCTCACTGAGGCATTGTGGGTAGTGGCTGGCAGCAGGGTGATGTCACTGTCGACTGTACTGCTGAGAATACTGTCGGTACTCCAACCTACACACACACACACAC